GGAAGAAAAAAGTATAAAACAAAATTTTAAAGTAACTATTATCTCTGATGCTGGGAGTGCTTTGTTTTGAATTGTGGGATGCTTGTGATATGTTGATTGTTTTTTTTTCTTGCTTGTAAATTTTTATTATTAATTTTATTGAGAAAGAAATAGCGATGAGACAGTTTCAAAACAGGTTAGTAGGACAGTTATAATAAACACATTTTTTAAAATTTCAACAGCAACCACCAGAAAAACTGAAAACAAACCAGAATACCTGCAAGTCCAAAAGTTGATTTGGAGTGGTCTGATCAGTCAAAGTGTAGCAGAAATGCCCCCCTACCCTAGCCAGGATACTTCGATTTCTGTTAACCTCTAGTTTAACCAGGTAACCTCTAGTTTATTTCAGTTCCTGTTATAGTTCCCATTACTTCTGTTTCCCAGAAATGGCTGGTCACTGTGATGCACAGCTGGTCACCCTGATACCAATCAATAACTGCCAAATACTTAGCTTCTGTACTTCCTTCTTTCAAACTCCATATAAGCCTCAAACTACCAGAGATCAGGGCCTGACATTTTTTTGAGGTCAGTGCCTCTCAATGTAAATAAGTCTGTCTCCAAATCCTGGGTGACATTTTTGTATTTCTGTCTACTATTGCATCTGGTGCATTGACCAGAAAAACCAACCATCCTGACTGCTTTGGTCACTGTCTGTGGCCCTCATGGACAGAGAAGGGCATTGTCAGGTCCTGACAGGACCCTTGAAATTTTTTGAGTCCTTGGAGGTCTGAGGATTCCTAGCTTGTCATTTCAGTGGTGCTCATTGGACCTAAAAGGGAGAAGAACACAGTATGCCTGCCTGCCTGACTCTGGTGAGATCCCCTGGGGCACCAGTTTCAGTCTGTGTCTGCTCAGCTCAAGCAGAAGTCAAGCTGATCACTTCTGGCTAGTTAGGCCTTCCTAAGGTTAGGGGGAGGGAATGTTTTAGCCTCTGAGTGGCTGCTGAGTGATCATATGAGTGTTGGTAATGGATGGTGCGAGCAATAGGCAGTTCTGTCTGTGCTCCATAGCAAGGAGGAGGGATTCCTTTCCAGACTACAGCTTGATTGGGTTCTAACCTGTGGTTCTATGGATGTATCAAGGAAAGGACAAAACGGAGAACCTACCAGTGCTTGTAGTCTGGATAGTCCTAATGTTGCTGAGAGACAAGCAGCCAGGAAGGCATCTGAACAGTCTCTCTCAGAGGGCCATCCCCCTTTGTCTGCTGCACCACTGTTGAAGGGTGCAGCACAGGAAGGGTGTTAGCAGGGGGCCCAGTCGGTCTGAACCCACAGTTCCTGACTACAGGCCCAAGAATTTTATAAAGGGCTTTTCTGGTGAATATGGAGCTCAAATGAAACTGCTACTCCCTGTATCTGAGGAAGAAAAATGATCCATCCTTCCTGAGAATTCTGCCTTGGCAGATGAACCATCCTTTGTTGGTGGCTGCAGCTGCTGCCAGCGCCTACAGCCCCCCACTCCCCCTCGTCTACTTCCAGCCAGCTGAGACAGATCCAGTGCAGCCAGTCATGGCATTCAGCTGCAGAGCCCCCACTGAACCTCCAGTTGCACAACTGCCCTTACAGTCCTGTCCTGGTCCGATGGGGTCATCTAATGCCCGCCTGAGATGACTGTCAATTCCTTCTGACTCTGGTCAACACAGAAATACTGCTGCATTAAAAAAATCTTTTATTTATTAGTTTAGTACAGGGTCTTGCTACTCAGCTCAGACTAGTACTGATCCTCCGGTCTCAGCCTCTTCAGAGCTGGGATTACAAGTGTGCGTCACCACACCTAGGTTCAGTGGCCGGCATGGCATGTGGTACCAGGGATTGAACCTGGATCCTAGCGCTTGCCAGGCAGGCACTTAGACTACTGAGCTATCTCCCTGGCCCCTGCTGTTGAATTTTGACTGAGAAAAAGAATGATTAATGAAAGAGGTCCCTCCATGAACTGTCAGCCCTGCCAAATGGGTTGCCATGGCCTCTCCCAAAGGTTGCCTCACTTAGAAGTACAAAATCAGGCAAAAAGAAACAGAGCAATCCAATTGAGCACTTATTAAAGGCACAAAAGGTGGGGGGTGGGGGGAATCAATCAGTATGTCAAATATTACTATTGTTACTCAGAAGCCTAATAAAAGCCCTGCAGGTTTTTATGAGAGATTCTGTAAAGTCTACAGGCTCTACACCCCTTTGATCCTGAGGTCCCAGAAAATCTACAAATGGTAGACACAGCCTTCATTGCACAAAAAGTACCTGATATTCACAAGAAAATCCAGTCTGATAAACGACCATGTCCTCTAGCCAGAGACCAATATGCAAATTTTAAGGGCTAAGGACACTACAAAAATAAATGTCCATCAGTCTAAAAGATAAGAGCTCTCATAAGCTTCAACCTAGATCAGATGACAGCCCTTTCATTGGTCTGATGAGCTCAGACAAGGCCAGACCAGGGTCCCTTCTTCAGCTGGGTCACTGGGAGCCCACAGTCCATGTCCATATTAGGGATCAACCTGTGACTTTCCTGGTAAACAGTAAAACAGAACTATGTAGTTACTCAAAAGTCCCTTCTCAGAAAAGTTTACCATCACTGGAATGACTGGGACTCTTCCCTCAAGCCCTTTCTGCCAGGCCCAGGCTTGCAGCATGGGGGGCATCTTACCAAACATGAATTAATGCAGTCTCCCTCTGCTTCTGGGAAGAGACTTCCTCTCTGAAATAAAAGCAACCACTGCTAAGCCAGTCAGCCTCCCTGTTGTTTAACTTTGCGCTGTGAAAGTTGGTCCTTACTCTGACTGTTCACCAAGAGAGAGGGTGACCCTGCTTTAGTCTGAGACAGACAACCACAACCCTGAAATTGTGAAAACTCTACTCCCAGAGGTACGAGCTGAAACTTGCCTCCAGGGGCTGGCCATCAATTATGCTCCAGCAGTGACTCAACTCTGCGACTCCCATAGACTGTCAAAGGGCTCTTACACCTCTGCTGCCTATGAAAAACCCAGTGGGGAATATTGCCCAGCTCAGTCAACTGATATGGACTAAACTTCCCAGAAACTCAAAACTTGTTTGTCCTCTTGGGAGAAGCCCCCATAGCTGACCTCTCACGGTGCTAATGTGTTACCTACCTTTTTTTTTTTTTCAAAGTTTTATTGATAAACAGCAATGAGACAGTTTCAAATCAAATCGGAAGTACAGTTTAAACAAATAATACACTGCACATATACTTCTTAGTGGTTAATTGCTGTATAAGATGAGGACTTGTGATCCTATTTACAAACACCATTAGAACAAATCATTCTATTCATTAAGAGAATGCACTTATATATCTATCCTAACCACTTTGAATACACAGATACAAAATGGACATTCAT